GTAAGGTTACCACATAAATTTTTTTTGTTTACTTCCAAGATATTTATTCAAAACTGTCCAAATCTTGAAAACTTTAAAAAGTATATGCACTCCGGGCAAAGCTCGGCTACCCTGGTATTGCTATTAATATGATCTCAAATACCGTATAATTAGTTAAATAAAAACAATTTTAGGTCTTATTAAAATAAGTCAAAACAGTTATTGGTAGATATTTTCCAGCTTTGGAAGATTTTTTTTCAAGTGCATGGTAAGTATTTTTCCCCCCTCAGTGGCAACCCTGGTCTTGTTGCTAAACATGAATTGAGCAAATTCACTAGTGAACCTCTAACGCCAGACTCTCACTGCGGCAATCCACTCAACTAGAATTTATATAGCGACCGTAGATACTTTAGCACAGTAATTTTTGTTCGTTCAGTCGGTAAAATACAAATTAGGTTTTGCGCGCAAACTTTTAAATACAGTCTGTACTTATGGGAATTAATCTCTTTCGTATGGTGTAACGATTTTTAATTCTTGAAATTAATTCGTAAGCAATTGTCTTAAGCCAACAGTTGAGTTCGATGTGAGTTAGCCGTTTATTTTGATTTAAGAATATTTGTGTTATAGTGATGTGTCTAGGTAAAATATGGAAAGCTCTACTAACTGACGCTTTATAAAATTGCATTTCTATTGAATTGTTTTTATAACGAAGTCATTGAGGGGGATTATATAGAGGAGTGGTCGTTAAAGCTTAGCTAAACGGACGTATGTACATTTTATGTTAATTGTACTTAAACATACAAAATCAGTTATAACGTATATATATAAAATATTAGGAATATTCCTATGTAGTTATGTTGACATGTATTTACACAAATCAATTCTGCAGAATAGCTGATAACGTATCAATGAAAAGCTATTAGAAAAAGTTGCAAATTTCTTTAATTGCAATTCTTGGTTGTTACATTCGAAAGTTATCTCAACAGATTTATTTAAATTATACATATTATATATATATATATACAGGTACACATAAGCAAAAGCCTTAGGTTCTAATCGTAATCGTACGAGTATTTACATATATATGTAAGCAAAGGAGAAAGAGTCTGTCAGTCATGTTTGCTATCAAAACTATTTTTCCTGTGAAATTCATGAGAACTCAAAGTTTTTTATTTATTTTTGTTTTTTCTCTAGCCCACATACATACATACATACCAGGGATGCCCGGTATTTCGGGATATTTTTTAAGTAATCCCGATATCCCGGGATTCACATTGAGTCATAACTTTTATGAATACTATAAGTGAAAATTCAATATCTTTAAGCATTTAAATTTGCCATGAAATAAAACTAATTTAATAATTTATTTTTGCGCTATAGGCCGTATGTTAAATAAAACATTAAATGTTTTTCTGCTTTATTTACTTTAAATTTTATTTTGTTCGATATTTCGCCTTCAGTCTGAAGGCATCTTCAGGCACTATTAGCTTTGTCCGGTCCAGTCGACCCAAGAACATTTAATGTGTTATTTAACATACGGCCTATAGCTCAAAAATAAATTATTAAACGAAATAAAACTATTTAAAATTTTCGATAAACTACAACAATATACAAGAACAATTTCTCTAAACATGTTTATTCTACTCAATAAAGTAATGGCGAATTGCGAATTTTTTGCCATTTTTTCGCAACTTACTAGAAATTTTGCAGAGTATTCTAATCTTGACCGGGATCCCGGGATTGGCATCCCTATTACATACATATGTATGTACATACTTGCAATGCGCTATATGATCGCAACAAGTTTATCATATATATTTACACTCTCTTTTGAGCTGTTAGGCGTTTTTCATTGGCTGCATTTTGCAATATGTATTTTTATTACGTTGCACAATATTTTTCCAATTGCCGGTTTACCCAAAGTGAATTTATTTTTGTTCTTTCATAAAGTGTAATAATAATTTGGTGTTGCTACTGTGTTCATGTTTGCATAGCATTTTCTTACTACTTGCTAAAACTCTGTAATACATACAAACATACATAGGTATGTATGACTATACAGCTGATCCACTTCTAACACGGTTAAAAAAAAAACATCTAAAAAATCGAATTTTCGAATATATTCCTCTATTCGTTTAAATTTTCATATAAAACCTTGTTAAATCAGAAAATCGTGTAAAAGAGGAACCATTTTGCATGCGAATCTCACAATTACTTAATTTCATTAAAAAATTTGCGGGCGCTACATACTCATGAAATTTAATGTGGAAACATTTGTGTACGGTTTGGCAAAGCATTAAGCGTCTCATTTTCTTTTATAGAGCTGGAAATGGTCCTGCAATTGTACTGAACCAGTCCCGAAGTGAGCCCGAATTTGCCCGGAATTAGTCCTGAAATAATTGTGAATTAGTTCCGAAATAGTCTTGAACAGCCCTGAACTAATCCTAAAATGGTCCTAAAATATGACTGAACTAGTCTCAAATTGGGCCTGAACTTGGCACAAAATTATCCCGAACTAATCCTAAAATGGCCCTAAGATAAGACTGAACTAGTCTCAAATTTGTCCAAATAAAAGGTGTCCAAATTATCCTTTCTTAAGGGAGATTTAGGTGATAAAATGCTCTCCAAAATTATTCCTCGTGAAATTTTACTATATATCCCCAAACTATACATTCCGCTTCGGTATGAACTTTAACTCTTGTTTTCCACTTTTTCTTTTGTAGCCTCACTGGGGAAATTAAACTGTTTAATCCCGCGCGGAATCTCCGACACGTCCCCTTATTTTACACCGGGTTTCCTAAATTTGATTACATATATATGATTTGAAATAAATACAATATAAAACCGTGTAAAAAGAGGCCTAAGTGCATTATATTAGTATGCATATTTTTTACTCTCTATCAATTAATGGCTTAGATGTGGCCATTTATATGTATTTGCAATCTAGTTATGGATGTGTGTATGTACATAAGGGTGTGCCTGAGTTTTTAAAACTTTTCCTTTTGGCTCAAACGAAGTGCAGTGAAGCAAAAAAATTTTGTCGTGAGCTATTCATTGACAATATTCGCACATGTTTTTTATGCCAAAATTTGTTCGTAAATTTTTTTTCATAAATTTTCTAAAGTTTTTCTAAATCGTCTTCGCTCTCCATGCCAATTACTTCTTTCGTGGCTGTTGTTTTGGAGATTCGTTACACCAATGCTGCTGAACGTAAAATAAATACGCTGCGGTGAAAGGTATTGGCATAAAGAATTTTTCCCAATGTATGCAAAAATATAGCTTAAATGTACTACAACAAAAAAAATAAATAATAGGGCATTATTCTTTGAAGTCTCACGAAGAGAAACGGAGTTTGCCGATTGATAAATATTGATTTTCAGGGATTTTATGTAATTTTACGAAAAATAGTTTCTTTTGATAAAAAAAAAAATAGCGGTATATTAAAAATCTGCAATTTTGCACCACCCCAATATACATGCATATTATATCTCTGCGTACATATCTATACATACATATATGTATATGTACATGAAAATGTAACTTTCCAAGAATTTACACCTTTGTAAACTGATAAGTAATTGAATTATGATTTATGCTTAGATGGCTGCAAAGGGCATCATTTATCCAGGGAAAATCCATTAATTATTTTAAACATCTATACAAATGTGTGATAAGCGGACATTCGACTTTTTAGTTTGGTGATTTCCCGCATTAATAACTGAAACTGTAGACAAATTAATCTTAACCCAGTGATGTGTTTTAATCAAAAGCTTATACACATATACATATGCATCTGTGGACATTTGACAGAACAACTTAAGTCTATCATTCACTGACAAATAAAATAGCATATGTCGACAAAGGTCTTTTTAACGTCAGTGCACTAAATATTATTTAAATAAAAACATGCAGTTGTTGCACAAAAAGAAACATTTTTGAAGGTTCTGCATAGCGATAAAATAATAATTTAATATTTCTTTCAAATTGCAACATTTTTCTCTTTGACGGTAAAATATGTTTTGTCGACCTATTGTTATTTTGTTTGTCCGTGAATGGTAGACTTAAGTTTTTATGTCAAATCTCCGCAGATATGTATGTATGTATGTGCAAACACAAGCCTATCAACATCTACTGTTTACAGCGAATCTTCGCATTTTGCTCCAGCTATGGACTCATGTCATTCAAAAGTTAATACCAGAGCTTGGATTTTGATGCAATGTTATCCTTTTTCTGAAGGCTTTCCTTTATGTACAGAAATTACATTCGTAGGTCGCATATCTGAAAAATGAAAAGTGATTAAATCGCTATTTTGTAAATTTAGCCATTTTTGTTCTTAAGCCATTTTAAACCGACTTCAAAAAGAGGAGGAGGTTATCAGTTCGTAGGAATATTTTTTATGTATGTTACCGCATAACCTTGGACCACGTTAACCGATTTCGATAATTATGTTTTCATCGGAAAGGCGGTACCTCAATGGTGGTCCCATACAAATTTGTTCAGATCCGATAAGTTAAACAAGCAATTCTAGGTGTGTGATCTGCGGACATATTGGTATAAAGAGAAGGGTGCATTTTTCGTGGTAGAAATGAAATCGGCAGAAGTATTTATGGGCACCAAAAGAAGATTAGCCCTGTTTCTGACAACATCAAAAAAATAAAACATAAAATACTTTTTTTTTTTTTAATAGCGGCCGCCCCTCCCGTTGCGAATAAATTATATCCTTACATAAAATTAAAGCCCCTCTACGAAAGATAAAGTGTTCTTTATAGTAAAACGGCTGCACTAATGAAAAAATAATAATTGGCACAAACATTGACCATGTCCTGAGAAATGTATAATTTGTATCACAAATTTCCCGGGAAATGCAAATTCCAGACTGGCTCGTTAAAGACAACCAACAGATTGAGGCGCAGCCGTAGCATTTGACAGTATAACGTTAAACCGTATATCACGAGGGTGGGCCGCGGCATCTGAGCCAAATAATATAACTGTTAATCCATTTTTACAGATTCTTTACTTGGATTTTTTTAACGCAACTTTCTCCTAAGCTGTTTGGAGGATATTCCACAGAACAACTATCAAAACAAACAATATGGATACATTTCCTTTAAATGGACTACCAACACCGCCTTTGGAGGATGTTGCCACACCGTCGTTGAGCAAGAGTTTACAAAAACTATATGCAGACAATGAGGCTATGCGCGCATCTATTCAAAGTTTCCAAATTTATAAAGAAACTGCTACGAGGGACAATTTCATTAATGGATTTGATCAAAGCTCTGCATTAATGGGCCTTCATTCTGATGAGAGTGAACTTTTTTTCGGTCAACAACAGCAAGAATGTTTTAATTTAATGCAGCAACAAAATATGTTGATTACGAGTTTAGGAAAAATTCTTGAAGACTATATTAACATTCAAAATCAAGTGATAATGGCCCTGAAAATATGGCAACGAAAACAAGCATTAGCCGGCAATGGTGCACCCTTCCCCGCTAATTTAGATGAGATTCAAAGCTTTGTAGAAGCTTTGATGGATCGAATTAACGAAATTATATTTTTCTGCAATTGTTTGTTATATTTGTTTGTTGAGCCAAGTATTCAAGGTATACTAAATCATGCACAGGACCTACATAATGTTCTCATATTTTCGACTTTCATCGTGGAGAAACAACCATCGCAAGTTATAAAGACAGGAACTAAGTGAGTGAACAATAATGCAAGTGTCAAGTCAAAGTTCATTTATGTACTTTTTCATATGTATGTATGTAATTTGAAAAATGTAGGTTTTCGGCCAGTGTCCGTTGGTTAATCGGGAGGAAGTTGGATATTCATCAGAATAAACCAAAAATGAAGTGTGAAATACTTTCAGGTAAGACCGGTTATTTAAATAGCTATCCTTACTGAAACTTTAGCTCTGTTCCAATTATTTTCGCTTAAAATCCTGTAAAAATTCCAAACAGCAAAATTACTCTCTGAAGTGAGAGTAAAGAGAGTGAGTAACAACAAAAAGCACGGGAACAAAAAAAACATTTTTCTTGTAAAAACGTCATCCACTGATCGCTTGACCTTTTTACTTGATTTTACCAGAAGAAAGTTCAACATATAATTAAAAATGCATATGTATGTATATTTTCTACACATATTGTTTCTAGAGGCTCAGGCTAAACGATTAGCAGCACAAAATGGTGCAAATATTCAAATCCCCCCAGCATCTACTGGCGTAATGATAGGCAATGAATGTTCAATGGTTTACGACAGCAGCAGTGGGAATTTTTCTGCAAATTTCGCGTAAGTAAATCGATGTCTAAACGGAAAGTGTGATTATTTAAAGTTTCTATTCCAGAGAGCTTGTAATAAAAAGCATACAGCGCTCCGAGAGGAAGGGACCAGAAAGCGTTATGGATGAAAAGTGTACCTTACTATTTTACACAACAACTCAGTATAAGGAATTTGAGATAACTGTAAGTGAAGGAAGTACAGAAAAACATCACTCTGAAACATTTACCAAATCTTTAAAAGCTCCCTGTATAATTTGTAGTCCAACCGATTCCAGTTTTTATTCAGATGCCGATTATTCGGCTTATAGGTAAATAATCGGCCGATGCCGGTACCATAAAATAATTATAGTTTATTTAATGAATTTAAATAAAAACAAAACAAGCGAAAACAAATGCTTAAAATAATTTGCTTGTTCTGTAACATTGCATACCTACACATTTGGATTGCTTGCCACCTTATAGAGAGAAAAGGCACAATGATTTATTTGGAACGAGTTTCCGTCATCCCTTGTAAAGCCTGGTTTGATTTTCAAGAATTCTATACCCATATAAAGTACATGGAAAACTTTGAGCGCTTTGACTAACCTCCAAATATTTTTTGATTTCAAAAAAAAAACTAGGGCCATATTTTTTCCAGTAAAAAACAATCCAAGGAGGGAAGAGCAACAAAGTTCCGACTTTATTTTTTTTTTAGACCACCCTAATGTTCATAGATCAATTACAGCTAAAACATATACGCCAGAGATAAGCTTTTAAACCACCTTGAGTAAACTATATAACTTCACTACGTTTTTTCTTTCTCTTTAGTGCTGGACACTTACTGTACCCTTGGTGGTAGTTGTACATAATAGTCAGGCACCACAATCAATGGCCACTACTACCTGGGATAATGCGTTCTATATAATTGGCCGCGAACCGTTTCAGGTACCAGACAAAGTCCATTACACGAAACTGTTGGAAGCGTTGAATATGAAGTTTGCTTCTTTGACGGGAGGTGAATTAACTCCAGAAAACTTGGATTTCCTAAGTAAGTTGAACAGACAGTTAGACAGATTTACTTATTTCAGTTATAAATATCTATTATATATGTATGTATACCATCGGTCACACTGCAAAACGATTTATGTCTTGCCACTTAGATGGTTTGTTTCCTATCCCGGCATGCGTTTGGTGTCCGATATGAACATTATAATATGCACATATGTATTTATTTCAGGTGAAAAACTCTTATTCAATGAAACTGGTCAGGCCAATGAATATATAACTTACTCACGATTCTGTCGGGATAGGTTACCAGGCCGTAATTTTACATTTTGGGAATGGTTTTATGCTATAATGAAACTGGTAACGACACATTTAAATCAAATGTGGACGGATGGACTCATTGTTGGATTTATAAACAAACAAAAAACGTTAGAAGAAATTTTGCCGTCTCAACCCAATGGTACATTCTTGCTACGCTTTTCGGATAGTGAGTGTGGTAAGACTTTGGATTTGGAAAATTTATTGTTTTTCTTTTTTAAATATACATATATTTATTATATTGCAGGTGCCATAACCATCGCAGTGCATCATGACAATTGCAGATATTTAATAACACCGTGGACTGCCAACGACTTGATTGTTCGTTCTCTAGCCGATCGTGTAAATGATTTGCCAATGTGTCAGATCTTGTATCCAAAAATGTTGCAACGTGATGCAGCATTCGGCAGTTTTTATACTCCGCGAATAGGTAAACACAGGGTGCATATTTTTCATGAAAATTTTCATTAACATTTACTTTGATTAATAATTCTTAGCACGTGACGGTTACGTTCCTGCGCAAATAGTAGTGCAACCACCTCAATTTCATTAGGAAGAGTAAGTTTCCCGATATTTAATCCATATTTAAAACTAGTTGATTATAAGCTGTGTGTACGATTATAAGATGTGTACGCATTTGAAAGAATGTTCCTTTATTGGACTTTCATTTAGTATGTAGTGTATACACTGACGCAAACACATTGTTTTTCCAG